ATCTCTGAGGTCTTCTCTTAATTGCAGAAGATGACTTAATTCACCTTCCCACCCTCAAGCCTTGTGTCTTGGTACAAGGGTTACATTAGCAGACATACTGCAAGATTTCTGTGTCTGACAGTGTCTTAGTGCTTCTCTTCCAGTCTCACAGTTATGAAGCTGATTGAATGTGAGGTAGAAATAACAATACTAGGTGGCTGTAGAATTAACTCTTACTCACCTTTCACCAATTACCTTTGCTTCAACAAAGCATTTGAGGATAAGTTTATTTCTTGCCTAATTTTATGGAGTGAACAGAAAGAGAAGAGCATCACACTGACTTAACGAAATCCCAGCAAGGTCCCCTGCAAACCCCACACCATACTGAGCACGCAATACCAGCTCTGGCAGCAGGAAGTAGAAGGCGGCTTTCTCTTAAGTGGCAAAAAAAATATAATTATTTCTGGTTACTGTTTTAGGAATTAAGTTACTGAAAACATAGAAAAGTGTGTGTCAGCTGTGGAGAATATGAACAATAATTACTCCCTAACAAGGTTGGGGGGCTTCATTTGCTTGTTTGGTTTTTTGTTTGTTTTTTTTTAAGGCAAAACAAAACATCAAAAGCGAAGTTATAACCAAAATCTAAGCAGCAGGTGGTATTTTCATGAATTTGAGTAATGAGCCTATAAGTCACAACTGCATGAAAACACATGAACAAATGCGCACATCTTTTGCAACACAGAAAGTGTTTATCCTTGATCTTCTGATTTATTTGTGTGACTTCCCAGGGTTTAAAATGCCACTCCCTTTTAAAAGCGAATCTAGGACATCATCAAGTGAAGATATAAAGAGCAACACTGTATGTAATTTTACTTTGGAACTAAATAAGAACTATCTGCTTTCCTGGAAGCTGAGACTTGATGTACATCTCGATGAAATGGTAACTTTTGTTACAAATTCTGTAATTTTTAAGGAAGAAAACAACAAAAAGTATTAAAAAATTAAACTTACAGTATGTATGCAGCGCTTTTAAAAATCATATTCTAGTTATGTTCTGGCATTTTTTTCTTCTTGCTTTGAAAAGTAGGCATTAATAGAATCAGTATATTGAAATGTTTTCACAACTCAACTAGCAGGGGTAAAAAAAAATAGAACTGTTTGAATTGCAAACATTAAATTTAAATGTTTAAGTCAGATGCCCAAATTTTACAATTATTTTTGTTTTAGAACGTCACTAAGATATAGAACACTCCACGAATCTTTTTGTGAATGAAATTTTTATTTACACACTGTATCCAGAAGCAGATACATAAATCCTTATACAATTATTTCTCAAAAATGTGCAAGAAATTACTATAATTTTGTTTACAAACCAAAACACATTAAAATCAATGGACTTTGGATAATTCACTCTGTGGTGTGCTTAGTACAAATAGTGCACACCAGGTCTGAAACAGAGAAAAGTGTAAACTACAGCAATCTGGATTGCAAGTATTAACTTCATGGCACTCCATCATCACTATAAAAATTCTTTAACCCAACATGTATTCATACAAAATTCTTTTAAGAATTTTTCATTACCTGCGTAGAATTTAGAATACTCTCCAGATGCAACAATGTCATATTTCCCGTACTATGAACTACCATCTAGCACATTTTTTATTTATCAAGATTGCTTGCAATTTTTATTCTTTGCAGTCATAAAAAGATTTTAAGAAATTAAATTAGCAATCATTAATTTATTCATAGTTTAGCTCAGAATTTGAGAGTTCAGCAACAGAGAAGTACTTCTCATCAGAATCATAGCCCATATATTGCTGGTATGGTGTTCTACATTTATAATTCCAGTATTCACATTGATGAAATGCATCAAAACAAAACCTGCACAGATTTCATTTAGCCCAGCAGTCAATATTCACAGAAATATTGGCTTTAACAAAATATAAAGTCAGCTCATCTGAGAACAAAGAGTTTAATAATTGTATTTCTGATGCTTCTGACAGAAAAACATTTTGATAAAAAGATGGCATTCACTATGTCAACAGCAGGATAAGTGCTATCTCCTTCAAACAGATCAAAGAATACAAATCACTTTCAATTGTTCGTAACGCTGGGTTACAAAAAAAAAAACCACCCCACAGAGGAAACTGTGCAAATTTATTTTTCTATTTCCAAATACAAGGTGTTTTCTAATTGGTAAAAAAAGTTACCAGTAATGTCAATCAATCATTTCAGATACTCAAAAAAGGAGTTCTATTTCAAAGTTTCATTTTCAAAAACATTTTTCCACAATTCATTTGCATAAAAAGCATACCTTTTGAACCCTTAAACTGTTGTGCTGAATAAATAACATATTTCTACTCTATAAGGATGACAGTCAGTTAGCTTTTACTCCTAGTGTATCTACTTCCAGAGGTCCCCAAAATATCCTCCATCATTCTCCTTTTATTTGTCAAGGACACTTTGTTCCTCTAATATTCATGAAGCAGAAGTCAACACAATTTTTGTGGTTACTCTGAGTACTTCTCAATCGTCTCCTAACTAAATGTTACTGTGTTTCTTTTATATTAATCTTTATTATAAGAAATTGTAAGTGTCTTTAATGTTTTCAAAGTCATTCCTCTGGGTTCCTTCTGCTCGCTGGCCAGTTACCTTGGCACGAAAAAGTACTGCGAGGTTCTGATTAATCAAACCTGGAGAAACAAGCATTTTTGTCTACTTACTACCGATTTAAAGTATTTTGAGCTTAGTAGAAATATCACCACGGATTTTATTTAGAAACAAAGTGCTATATGGTTCTTGCAGCCTAGGCCTTAATCACTTTTCAGTGTTCCTTTTGTGGAAGATTTATGAGAGGTGGGGGAGGAATGACAAAGTTAACTTGTTCACAAATGAAGAGCACAGCAAGGAAGGCAATTCAAAAACTGGACAGCTGAACCAAAGTTTTAAAAAAGCATCAATGTGTATGAGTGAACAAACTGAAATTTATAAAGGCATGGGCAAGAAATTCAGCGTCTGTGTTCTTGGACGTTTTTCAATTCAGCAATAGACCAGGATATTCTAGCTTCAACTATTTAAGTTTCAATGCAATGATTGCTAAATTAATGCATGTGGCATAGCATAAACATGTGTTTAATGCATTCAATAGTGGTATTAAATGGCAAAGAAAATATTTAACATACTATAATCTTTCAAAGATTCTGTAGAATGCATAGGGCCTCCAGCTTGGACGGGGAAAGAATTTTTAAAGTGAAGAAATTGCCAGAGGTTTTCTTCCAAAAGTATGCATCTGAAATCCATAAAAATTATTTTCTTTTTTCTCCCCACAGACAGAATCAGAACACCGTACCATACAACAGGTTATTGTGCCTTTTTGAATCAAGTTAGTGATCCTGATTCAAGGGGAGGTTGAGGGGGCGGTAAGTCAGTAGAGGAAAAAAAGAAAAAAGAATTCACACTTTCATACATATATATCAATGGCAGAGCCAACAAATTACGCATATAGACTGCTCTAGATCTTTTTTTAACTTTAAAACTTTATCAGACTACAGAAGAAATCCTTATTCTCCCTTCCTTAAAAGCAAAGGCAGCCTTTAGCTACCTTTGATTTTATTTTTTTTTTATTTTTTAGTTAAACATTATGGTCAAAAAATAAATTAAAAAAATATAAATTTTGTCTATCAATTCAGGCAACCCAAGATGTAGTGCTACTGCACCACCTTGCAGCAATACTGTATTCATTACTGAAGACTCATTTCAGGGGACATAAAGGCTACATTAAACAAGGAGAAGAAAATGGCATAAACAAGAAAGCTGCATCAAAGATGAACAGTCTTTTCTAGGCTGATGTTTACCCACTAGCAACTCCTACCAGAGAAGGGGAAGATGACATTCTAAAATACAAAACAGGGTGGCAGAGGCAGGCAAAGCAAGCTTCCCTCCCAAGCTAGCCATGACCCCTTCAACAAATAACTCATAAAAGTGATAGAATCATGGGGGGTAGGGGGGGGAACCTGAAACAGAACAGGAAAATGCCATGGATTAACCTTACATGACGAAAAATACTACAGTGTAGCACCTGTATTCCCCACTGAAAGCCTTTTTACCCCCCCTACAGAAGGTTAGAATAACTGTAAGCTTTTAAAATGCCAGAATCTTTAACAGCTATCCTAAACAATTACTTAATTGATTCAATATTTCATATTCGAAACATATTTCAGGACAGTAAACCGAAACATTGTCGATGGTTAGTGTATAATCCAAACCTCTTTTCTCCGTAATTTGAAAGGCTATAAGAATAGAGTTTTAGAAATGCATTTTAAGCATCTTCCATCCAAAATGTTACCAGTCCTGTTCCTTCTCCTCCAAAGGATACAAAAAAAAAAGGGGGGGGGGGGGGGAGATAATCTAAAGAACATTAGTGTATTACTGCATTTCTGAAGTGAAAAAATGCAGAAAATAGGAAATGATAAAATTTCAAGTAGCTTCAATATATACTGTAGAAATCATTCTATTAGAAGTTTTACCCCATCCCTAAAATGGCTTATAATTTATTTTCCCATAATATCTATTCCTAGAGTATTCCTACGAATCCAGGAAACTCTGCCCCCCCACTCCCCAAGAGGAGGTAGGAGGGAAAAAGACAGAAAGAGGGGACCTGGTAGGTATTAATTTATTTAACGGATGGCATTATTTTAAAAGGTAATATTTGACAAGACCTCAGTATCACAATTTCCTTATAGGTACTACAACTTGACTTTCATAGACTTCTTTTGTTTTTTTAAAGGCCATTTTTAGAAGGACAAAATACTGAGTGAAGGCGGCTGAACCAAGCCTCTCAAACACAAAAAAGTGTACAGACAACACAAGGCTTAAGAGAAAGGTGGTTCTTTTTCCGAAGATATGCTGCATAACCATGTTCTTATCACACAACTCTGTCTATAAGTTCTACATTAGGGCATATCTCTATAGAAATTTTGTAATTAGTATACTAGGAAATAATTTTTAACATATAAGTAAATTCTGTAATTTAGAATACCAATATGGTTTTTATCCATGATCATTTTTTTCAAACAGGCTATTTTAAAGGAAAAAAAAAATTCCATTCAACAAGTTTCATTTGACTTTTACTTATGGTTGAATACACATGAAATGTGCTTTCAATGCATAAAAATCACAGTGGATAGCAGCAAAGGACTTGGGGGAAATTAAGGAGAATTTGATCATTCACATTGTGATTAATCTGCACATTGATGAAAGAGAGCTATTTCACACTTCTAAAAATAAAATTGAGATCATTCTTTCAAAAGAAAAAAAAAAGCTCCCCAAAATACACAAAAACCCCCAAAACAAACATAAATCCAAATGCATTACTTTTCTTTTACACACAAAAATGAAATATTTTTATGGCAGCAAAAGATTTTGATAATAATGAAAGTCTGTAAACTGTAATTCAATCTCTTTTTGTTGTTGTTGTTCCCAAAGTGCAAGATGCAAGATTCCCATAAGCTTTCAGTAGTGCTTTTCCTGTAAATAATCCTTCATTTTGTTTGGCAAAGGCAGTTTCTGAATCAGGTCTATTCTGGTGTACTGACGTATTACAAAACGACACAGGTACTGTAAAGAACGCACCTGCATAAACCGAGACACTGGATTTGTCAGTCTCACTGGGTAAGTTGCTGATCCAGGCAGTCGGGATCTCGAATAGCAGAAAGCTCCATTTTCAGAGTCCCTGATTGAATGTTCAATTAAGTCAACTATAGATGTATGTCCCTCCACATCAGGCTGTTCATAAAAGCTAAACCTACCATTTGAGTGTTCAATTCTAGTGTGAAGAGTTTTTCCATGGGAACGAAAACTCAAACTTAAAAGATAACGATCATCAGAACTATCTCGAACAAGAAACGAGCCATCAGGCACATTAGCTAATTTTCCCTCTGCCTCCCAACGTGTAATGGGGCCCCAGTACCATCCTTGTTTTGCAAGTTTTTTGAGTTCTTCCGTGAGACTTGTCACAACCATAGGACCACTGTTCTGTACAGAATCATAAACTCTTCCAACTCCAGGGGCAGTGTTAGGATCAAAATTCAAATGGCAGCGCATACTTTCAGCCACGTGGGCATCTGTGCCATTCAATCCATTGAAGTTCCTTTGGATTTGATTATTCTGCATTGGAGGTAGCAACGGTGAGAGTGGAGGGGCATCGCTGTGATTGACTCTTGGGCTTTGCAACATGACTCCTGTGGTACCAATCAACAAGCCATTCACCGTCTGGTCCACAAAGATATCCGGTGCAACAACTACATCCTGATCCACTTCGCTCTCTTCCTCATGGAAAGCATTTCCCCCCACTTGAGAAGAAACAGTTGAAACTTCCATGGGTGAGGAACTATCCAGACAGTAACTACGTGATCCTTCCAAAGGATACATTCCCTCATCTAAAGGCACAGTATACTGAATGTAGTCCTGAGGCATTAATCCAATAACTACAGGCACATGTTCATCAATATGAAGATGCAAGTCCCCGTTCTGAGATTCCGTATTTTTTAATGCATTGTTTTGTTCCTGGAACACGTTGTCCGACTGCAAGTCATGGAAGTCCTTTCGAACACCATTCAGTGCTGGGCTGGGATTAGAGGAATGGACCAAGGCCTTGACTTTCACTTCCATTTTGATGCAAGTTTCTTCTGAATTTGTAGGTCGAAGAGGCCATGGAGTTGGACTGTAATGGTGATTGCGGAGGGAAGTGGATCTCAGAGGTCTTTGAGCTCGCACATCTTTGAAGGTTATTGGAGCAGATGAGGAAGAAAAGGTGTCGTCATCTGCAGAGCTTACAGATGGTGTGCTGCCTTTGCCTTTCTGTTTTTGTTTTGCTGAAAGCCTCCTTTTTAACGTACCCATTAAGCTTTCACTTTTTGATCTATTTTTGCCTCCTTTTTCATCTTCACTATTGACTTCACAGCTAGCCAAATCTTTGCCATAGCAGCTGCCAAACAAGGAGTCATCTTTTCCAAATTCACTTAACGATGGCTGCT